CCCCCCCCCCATTCCTGACTGCCCCTCCGGGACCCCTGCCACCAGTCAACCCCCCCTGTTCCCTGCCCTCTGACCGCCCTGAACCCCCGCCCCGAATTCCCCTGCCCTCTATCCAACCCCCACCCTGCTCCCTGCCCCCTTACCGTGCTGCCTGGAGCCAGCCACACTATCGCCACCGCGCAGCACAGAGCCCCAGAAGCTTGCAGCCCCACCGCCCAGAGCATTGCACCACTGGCGGAGTGAGATGAGGCTGTGGGGCAGGGGAGGAGCCGGGGGTAGCCTCCTGGGCCAGGAGCTCAGGGGCGGGGCAGGAGGGTCCCGCAGGCCGGATGTGGCCCACGGGCCGTAGTTTGCCCACCTCTGGGTTAGACTGTTGTTAGAAAAACATCATCATATGTGTTTTTAAGAACACCTGAGCTTATCAGAGTTAAAAATTTAATTTGCTTTTTCTGATTTAATTTCAGTTTGCATTTTTCTTTTATATATGATGATGAAACTAACACAAAAATCAGTTGCACGTTTCAGTTCTTGTGCACTAAAGCTTTGTCTCATATTTGGTTTACCAATATTTTAGGGGAACTTTAAACCAGATTTGTTTTATGATCAGAAATTGTTTTAAAATTAATGAAAATGTTTTTATTAACATTACAGACAACTGTTTCCCACCCATCCTGAAATTAAACTTTTTAGGCCTACCTTACCTGAAAATGTCCCTTTTAATATAATATAGCAGTTGGGAGGGGTCTGAAGAATCCTTGATCTTTGAAACTAGTTCTACCACTATGCCAACTAAATGCCAGATTGTGCAGTTTGGGTTGCTGGGTGCACGGAGCTTCTACTTCCACTGTTTTTTTCATGCATTCTTCCCATACCTAGGATGGCAAACTTTTATCTCCTCTCCCCCCCCCCCCCCCCTCTAACCCCCCTGTATGATTAGGGATGGGTTCCTGGATCAAAGGTTTTTCTGGGCAACTTGGCCACCTCTCACAGCCCATGCTTCATGGTTGCTGCATTCAAAAAGATCAGTCTTCTAGGATCAGTTGGTCCCTCTCTCTGTGCATACTTCAGGGATGTAGCTTTAATGTAGTCCTACAAGATTCCACTGGAAGAGTGGAAAGAAGAAGAAATTAGGAGGGGAATGAAATAGTGATTTCACAGCTACACAGGTCAACAGTGATAATTTTCTTCTTTGCAATAAGTTCATAAGGCAGCAACAGATAAAAGGAGAGAGAAGAAAAATGGAGGTCCAGCTCCACAAACTTGTGAACAAGGTATTTCTGTAATTGAAGACAGGGAAGCTCTTTTTTACTTTGTTATGCCACGCTCATCACCACAGTAGCTGAGTGCCTTCCAATAATGCATTAATAATGTGTCTAACATCTTTCATGTCACTTGCTCTCTCTCCCCACAGAGAGAAGTATGTGCTGTGGAGTACTTTGTTGTGGTAGGTGTTTTTTTTGTTTGTTTGTTTCTCTCTGTCCCTCCTCCCCTGCTCTGGGTTTCTCTAGTGTTGTTGTTACAGTGAGATCTTAGTATCCAGCTATACTAGAGGTCTGCTTTTATTGTTCTGTTAAGTGTAAATAGAAAAAAGAGAACTCATGAGGCTAAATTCAGGGGGAGGAAAGTTGAGTGTAAAGTATTTTTCTCCCCCAATCACATTTGATGCAGATAGTAATTAAAGATTAAATTACATGTATTTGGCAAGAAGTGGAAAGATAATTGATTAACATTACTTTCTTTAGGGATTTGAGATGTCCAAAAAGAAATCCAAGAAGTCTGAGCAAAAGGAGGGAAGTTCGGATGGCTTGGATAACAAAGTAAGAAAACTAATACTCTTGTGAAAATAACATACATTTAAAGCAGAGTTTCAATTGCTTAGTAGATGTTTAATAGAGGAATGAATCAGTGGCTGAGAGGAAAGATAGGGTCATGAGGGCAGGAACAAGAGTGAATCAACGAGGTTCTTTTAAGTTTTACTCTGGTTTTCAGGAAGGCTGTGAGCAGTCTAGGTATAGAACTTGTAAGAGAAGCTTTCATCTTGGTGTATACATTTTTTTCCTAAGAGAAATTGTCAGTCAGAAAGTACTGTTGTTTATCTGCTAGATACAGCTCAAGGCAGAGTAGTGATCTTCATTTTTTTTTTTTAGATTAGGAGCCAGTGATGTGCTGCCAATATTTTAACAAGTGGCTCCCACAGAAATGTTTTCTTAACCTGTGAGATTTGATTCCATCAATGACCAATATTACGAGTAGATTCCTAGTAATGGTAACATGCCTGTAATCAATGATTGATTTTTAGATCTTTCTTTCAGCAAATCACTTAAGAAAATCCTAGTCCAACAAGATAAATGTAGATTCTAACGGCCACAACCCCTGTTTGGCCATGCTTGCAAACACAGTCAGAATAATCTCCCAACCTTTTGTGGATTTCATTTTATTTTATTGGTGACTGGTCTTCTGGTGGCTGTGTGCTATGCTACTGACAAACCAGTAATTCAGGTTAGCAAGTTTTCTCACTCAGAATTTAGGTGGGATGAAGTGAGGGAGAGAGCAATCAAATGGTGTTATATGTGCTCCTCAAAGTGGGAATAGTTTGGAAGAGTGCAGAAATATGGCTGGCAGAGTTTAGGGCATTCTCTGAAGGTGATTATAGGTGTTGGGAGGCTTTTGGAAAAAGGAATAATGTGTGTGAGGAGAAAATGAATATAAGTACATCACTCTTGATTCTTGGCAACCAAGTTACTCAGACTTCAGTTGCATAGCAAATGTGTACTTAAAAATGAATACAGCATAAAATTAAAAATGTTATAATCACCTGATTTCTCCCTTGTTTGCTTCTCAATTATATTCTTTCAGCCTTCTTGTTCTAAGACTACCAGTAATAAAACAAAGGCATCCAGTTTGGCAAGCTCAACACCTTCCTCAGAGAAAAGAAAATGGGTGAGTAGTGTCAAACTATTGGACATAATCATTTTATAAAATCCTTTTCCCCCTTAACCCTTTGTCTATCTTGTTTCCAATATAAACTGACTCTTAGGACAGGACTGTCTCATAATCTGTTTGTATAGTGACTAGCACAACGGGTCTTTGATCTAAGGAGGGTTCCCCAGGCACTACTGTAATATAATAATAATAATAAATTATCTTGCATTCAGGTACAATGGAAACATAGTAGAAATGTCCCTCTAGGTGTCTTGGCTGTATTCAGCAGTACCCATTATTGACCTCTCTTATCAGCAATAGGTATTGTTTTGTATGTTCTCCTCACACGTATGCAGGCATGCAACAGTAGAGAGTAGGGTTGCCAACTTTCTATTGGCACAAAACCGAACACCCTAGTCTCGCCCCTGCCCCGAGGCCTCGTCCCCCCGCTCACTACATTTTCCCCCTCCCTCGGTGGCTCACTCTTCCCCCACCCTCACTCACTTTCACTGGGCTGGGGCAGGGGGTTGGGGTGTGGGTGAGGGCTCTAAATGGGGGGTGTGGGCTCTGGGGTGGGACCAGAAATGAGGGGTTCAGGGTGCAGGAGGAGGCTCCAGGCTGGGCAGGGAGCTGGGGTGCAGAACGCAGTGAGGGGTGGGGATGAGGGGTTTGGGATGCAGGAAGGGGCTCCAGGCTGGGGGGGTGGGGTTGAGGGATTTGGAATGTGGGAGGGGGCTGCAGGTTGAGGCACGGTGAGGGTTCTGGGCTGGGAGTGTGGGCTCTGTGGTGCAGGAGGGGTCTCTGGGTTTGGGGGACTTAGGGCTGGGGGTTGGGGTGCAGGAGGGGGTACGGGCTCTGGGCTGGGGCCAACAGGAATGAGGGATTTGGGGGGTGGGGGGGGGCTCTGGGTTTGGGTTGGGCTCAGGGCTGGGGCTCGAGGTTGGGGCGCAGGCTTACCTCCGGTGGCTCCCAGTCAGTGGTGCAGCGGGGGTGCTAAGGCAGGCTTCCTGCCTGTGCTGGGGCACCGTGCTGCGCCCCGGAAGTGGCCAGCAGGTCCAGCTCCTAGGCGGGGGGGGCAGGCAGGAGGTTCCGCGGTGCGCGCTGCTCTTGCCTGCAGGCACTACCCCCCTCCCGCCCAGCTCCCATTGGCCATGAACCAGCCAATGGGAGTGCGGAGTCAGGGCCGTGGCAGTGCGCAGAGCCCCATGGGCCCCCCCCACCTAGGAGCCAGACCTCCTGGCTGCTTCCAGGGCTCAGCGTGGTGCCCCAGGACAGGTAGGAACTAGCCTGTCTTGGCTCCGCAGCAGCAGCACCAACCGGACTTCGAACGTTCCAGTCGGCAGTGCTGACCGGAGCCGCCAGGGTCCCTTTTCGACCAGGTGTGCCGGTCAAAAACTAGACACCTGGTCATCCTAGTAGAGAAGTGTTGCCAACACTAGTGCAATTGTACTTGCTAGCCTTGTGTAATCTATCGGTTTTCTTAAAACTTCCCATTGTGACCCTATCTTTGGTACTGCAATGTTTTAACCATTGTGTTACTTAGACCTGTTCTGAAGGATATTAGATAGCACTGTGATTAAAACACTGCTCCATGCAGATACTCCTATTGTTGAAGCTACTGGAGCTGTGCTATTTCTAGTGTAATGATGGGAGACTTTCCAACAATTGCCATTGTAAACACAACCTATTGTAGATAAAGAACCATGTTTTAACCAACTTAACGTGATGGTAGTGCTGGGGTGTGTTCTGTTCATACAAGCAAGGTTAAACCATGTTATAGTATGATCTGATCATAATCCTATTTAAGTATGGCTGTTTTAGTGAGGTAGACAGGACCACAGGGAAAAGATGTGAATTGTATGGAAAATTCTGCAACTTCTAGTCCCTGTCAGGTGTGAAATTGCTTGGCATACACTGCTGGTTGGAAATATGAATGAAGGGAAACTTGTTGCTGATACAAAACTAAAACAGAAAAAACAAAGCTCAAACTTCTTCCCACTTGTGCATGAAGATGTATATAATTAGGGCACTTTGTTTTTGTTTATTTTATTTTTTCCCCAGGAATTTATTGGTGTTTATTACTACAACAATTAAAAAACAGGTGAAAATCAGTGCAGAAATATTATTTTTTCTGGGTAAATATTGTGGTTTATTTTGGTGGATGGAAGGATCGGGGTAAAAGTATTCAGTAGATTGAATTCTGTTAATCAAAGCCTTAATGTGGTTTGCTGCAGAACTAAAACAGAACTCAAAACTCAATGCCAACTCTGAGTTTGAGAAAACAATATACACGTCTACCCTGATATAACGTGACCTAATATAACACAAATTCGGATATAACGCGGTAAAGCAGTGCTCCGGGGGGGCGGGGCTGCGCAATCCGGCGGATCAAAGCAAGTTCAATATAACGCGGTTTCACCTATAACGCGGTAAGATTTTTTTTTTTGTGTGGCTCCCGAGGACAGCGTTCTATCGGGGTAGAGGTGTATCTCTAATCCCTAATTTTTTTTTCATTTGAATAAACAATTTACTGTTGTAGACGTAGAACTACTAACCTATAAATATTTACATTTAATAATTAGGCCACACCATTTGCAGTGCATACACTCAACTTCATCTTTTTCTCCTATTTTTTTTTTTAAGCTTTTGAATACTTCCTTGTGTTCTGAAATGTATTCTGATACAGATTTTCGTTTTTCCATTTTTAGTGTGTCAAATCTTTAAACTGGTATCTGCCAACAGCTTGAAATGTGTACTTGGTGGGCATGAGATTTATCAATACGTTGAAATACGCACGTACTTTAGAGCTTACGTGTATGCCTGTTTTATTGTGTGTATTTTCTAGACCGGGGTGGGCAAACTTTTTGGCCTGAGGGCTGCATCGGGTTTCAGAAATTGTATGGAGGGCCGGTTAGGGGAGGCTGTGCCTCCCTAAACAGGCAGGCATGGCTCGGTCCCTGCCCCCTATCCGACCTCCTCCTTCCCCCCCCTCCCCCCCGCTTCTCGCACCTGATGGCCCCCCAAGATTCCTGCCCCATCCAACCACCCCTTCTCCCTGTCCCCTGGCCGCCCCATCCAACCCCTCTTCTCATTCCTGACTGCCCCCCCGGGACCCCTACCCCATCCACCGCCCCTGCTCCCTGACCACCCCCCGAACTTCCCTGCCCTCTATCCAAACCCCCTCTCCTGCTCCCTGCCCCCTTACCGCGCAGCCTGGAGCACCGGTGGCTGGCGGCGCAGCTGCACCAGGACAGGCAACCACGCTGCCTGTCTGGAGTCCGCCACGCACTGCGCAGCGCAGAGCACTGGGTCAGGCCAGGGTCTGCAGCTGCACTGCCCCAGGAGCTCGCAGCCCCGCCGCCCAGAGCATTGCGCTGGCGACGCAGTGAGCTGAGGCTGCGGGGGAGAGGGAACAGCAGGGGAGGGGCTGGGGGTAGCCTCCCGGGCCAGGAGCTCAGGGGCCGGGGAGAATGGTCCCACGGGCCAGATGTGGGACAAAGAATGTACAGTAACTCCTCACTTAAACTCGTCCCGGTTAACGTTGTTTTGTTGTTACGTTGCTGATCAATTAGGGAACATGCTCATTTAAAGTTGTGTAATGCTCCCTTCTAACATCGTTTGACAGCCGCCTGCTTTGTCTACTACTTGCAGGAAGAGCAGCCCCTTGCAGCTAGCTGATGGGGGCTTGGAACCAGGGTGGACCAGCAGCCCCTTCTCAGCTCCCCCTATCAGCTCTCTACTCCCCTAAATTCCCTGTGCAGCAGCTGCCTGCAGTTCAGCTGTGTTCCTCCCACCACTGCCATGTGCTGCTCCTGCCCTCTGCCTTGGAGCTGCTCCCCGAGACTCCTGCTTGCTGTGCCGGGGGGGAGGGAAGGAAGAGGGGGGGCTAATGTCAGTGTGTCCCCCTGCTCCTGCACCCCGCTTATCCCATCTTCCATAGAGCAGGGCTCAGGACCGAGGGAGCTTGCAGCAGCTGCAGTCTCAGCAAGCTGGTCTAATTAACAAGGCAGTGTACTTAAGGGAAATGTGCATATCTCCCTCCATTCCTGCTGCCTTGCGGAGTGAGAGAGTTAACCCGTGAGGGCTCAGCCAATTGCTAGTTCATCATTTAGCAGTAAGGGAAATATCCCACCCTCTGACTCCTCCACCTCAACCAAGCTTCACAATCATCATCACTGTGTACCAGTATTAAATTGTTTGTTTAAAACTTATACTCTGTGTGTGTGTGTGTGTGTGTGTGTGTATGTATATGTATATATATATATATATATATATATAAAAAATAAAATCTTTTGTCTGGTGAAAAAAAATTTCCCTGGAACCTAACTCCCTTATTTACATTAATTCTTATGGGGAAATTGGATTCGCTTAACATTGTTTTGCTTAAAGTCGCATTTTTCAGGAACATAACTACAACGTTAAGTGAGGAGTTACTGTAATTGATACTTGCAGGACTCTATCCTGCGAAGCTGTGACTCTGAAAGAGATTTGGGGTTTGTGATGGATAATCACCTGAACGTGAGCCTCTAATGTGGTACTGTGACCAAAAGAGCTAATGTGATCCTGGGTTGCATAAACAGGGGAATCCTGAGTAGGAGCAGAGAGGTTATTTTACCTCTATATATGGCACTGATGTGACCAATGCTGGAATACTTTGTCCAGTTCTGGAGCCCACAGTTCAAAAAGAGTGTTGTTGGTAAATTGGAGGAGAGGGTTCAGAGAAAAGCCATGAGAATAATTAAAGGACTAGAAAACATGCCTTTATAGTGAGGAGCTCAATCTATTTAGCTTAAGAAAGATGAGGTTGAGCGGTAACTTGATTACAGCCTATAAGTATCTGCATGGGGAACAGGTACTTGATAATGGGCCCTTTGTGTTACACCTTTCTCTGCTAGAGCAATCCAGTGGCTGAATCTAGACAAATTCAGACTGGAAATAAGATGTAAATTTTTGACAGCGAGGGTAACTATTGGAGCAGTTTGCCAAGGATCATGTTGTATTCTCCATCACAGACAATTATTTAAAATCAAGATTGCATGTTCTTCTAAAAGATATGCTCTAGATATTATTCTAAGGACCTTCTGTGGTCTATGTTATACAAGAGGTCAGATGATCAAAATGGTCCCTTCTGGCCTTGGAATCCTTGAATCTATGGACCAGGACTCCATTGTGCTAGGCTCTGTACAAACACAGAACAAAAAGGTGGCCCTAGCCACAAAGATCTTACTGTCTAAGTATAAAACAAGAGATGACAACAGATGATTATAGACAAATGATGTACAAGGGCATAATGAAACAATATTGGTGAGCATGATAGTGGTCTCAGCACACCAGTGGCCTAACTGTGGTCATCTTTTTGTAAGTGTCATGGCAAAGGAGAATTATAAGGTGGGATTTGAATGAGATAGTTTTGCAAATGTTTATGGGATGCCCTTGAACATGAGGGGCTGGATGGGAATAACCACAAAGTGCTTGTTTCAAAATGTAACAAGTGGACAGTGGAGGCTGGCTTCACGGTCTGATTGGAGGTAGGAGCTGACGTCTTGCTAGTGAATGAAAAGTGATAGGTGGGGTAGAGAAGGGCCTTGAAAGTAAAGACAAGGAACTTTGTTTGTGTAATAGAGATGGGGAGAACCACTGAAGTGATGTGAAGAGAGGGGTGATGTGGTCAAAGTGATGAGGATAAGAAAATTATCTATGCAGCAGCATTCTGAATAGCGATGAGCAAGGCAGGGCCAAAAAAAGGATGTTACAATAATCAAGATGATGAGAGCGTGGATATGAGGTTTTTTTAATCTGTGTGGATGGATAGAAAAACCTGGATCTTACAGATGTTACACAGAAAGAATTGGCAAGATTTAGATGTAGTCTGGATATGAGGACTTAGAGACATCTCAGTCAAATATGATGTCCAAGTTACAGGCCTCAGTAACGGGCAGGATGGTGGCCTTGTTCAGAGTTTGAGAAGGGAGTTGGGGATTAAGAGCTAGCTCTGTTTTAGTCATGTTGAACTTGATCTGATGGCTAGATATTGATGAGTTCTGGGAGATAGCTCTGTTGTAAGCTTGGAGTAAATTCTAAGCATATGTGTACCCTACAAGCACTACAGCGGCTGTCGTGCTGTACTACTATAGTGTAGTCTCTTACTACAGTGATGGAAGGGATTTTTCCATTGCTGTAGTAAATCCAGGAGGCAGTAGCTAGGTCGACAGAATATACAGTAGGATGTTAGGTTGACCTGATTGTGCACAAGGACCAGGTCTGATGTTTCATTTGTCTAAGGCCTCCACACTAGGGAAACTTTTCGGCTGTTGCTAACTTATTCAGGCTCATTGAAGTTAGCAGTGTTGGAAGCCCCAGTCTGGATAGGGTGCTGGCTACCACCACAATGGTGGTGAGTTCTTGGAAAACTGCCTCCATTGTAGAGAAGACTTCAGAACTTTTACTCATTTCAGGAAACTGTTGATACTCTGTTTATATGATTGTGACCAAACATTGTCAAAACTCTGTTCTAGAGTAGATAGAAACTTCTAGGAAGCAATTTGGGTAATGTATATTCTTTATCTACCGGTTTCTTTGTAGAATATAGCATATGTATGTATTGAAAGATCTGTAATCAGTTATACTTTTGTAATCCAGGTCTGTTTGTATGCTGTTGCTCACTTGTTCCTTGTGTTTTCTTAAAATGTAACAATACAGTGAAGCAAATACATTGTAATGGAGTAGATGGCCAGTTTGTTTGAGTTTAGCTCGTCAAAATTTGAATGCATCTAGTGATAGATCATAGTAACACATTCTTTATTGAGTTTATTTTATTTTACTGCAATTTAGTGGTTCCTGTTAAAGTTTTTAACTTTTTTTTTTTTTTTTTTTTTTTTTTCAGAAATCAGAAGAGACAGGAATCTGTAACACAAAAGGACAGCTAGAATTTCAAAGGTAAATGCTTACTTTGTCACTAAACATAACCATTTAAAAAAAACCCCAACAGGATAGTGCTTAGTATTTTAGCAAAAATATTGGTTTTTTTATTTGTGCAGTGATGGAGAACTGGGCCTTCTTAATAGATTAAAATATTTCCATTTGCATTCATGAATGGACTCTGCTTAAGTCAGTCAGGTTGTGATGGCAATTAAGAGATGAGGTCCTTAAGATTTCTTTTAAAATTCACTATAAATTTGTGCTACTTCACACTGAACAAGAGAGGAATGGACCCTTCCACTGTTCCCTGGAAACTAGGGACAGTGTTATCCTCCTCATTCTGAACAGTGGGCCTCGTAATAGGAATGTGTCTGTGTTGAATGTTATTCTGTAGATGTCAGCAGAAGTACTGAGCATGGAACAAAAGCAGAACGTACAGTAGAGAGCCATAATGTAATTTAGAGGAGGATTTTGCATTAAGTATAATATCTTTCATTTTCCATTTCTGTTGGCTCTAGGTAGCCCCCAAATCAATCCACTTGTCGTAATGTACGGGGAGATGTTCAGCAAACAAGTAAAGTGCCTGAACCCACTATTGCTTATTGCTAAAAGCAGCCAAGTCAGCAGGCTGTAAAGTGGCCATGTAGCAAGCGCAGCTTGACCAAGGCGGGAGGGGAGGGGGTTTTGAGTGCCACAGAAAGGGCAGCTTGACCCCGCGTCCTTCCTGATAAGAATTGTGTTGAAGTTGCTGATGCATGCATTTTAGAAGAGAGGATGTGCCCTCAGGAATGTGTCTAACAGGGTCTCAGGGCTCCAAACTAGGGGAAAAAACTACACTTGGTTAATCAACAATAATCAGAAAAAAACCTCTTGCTTGACCATTGAAACTGCTAGCTTAACAAATTTTCTTTAAGGGGCATGTCATTGTGTTACTAATGTATAAAATAAGGGGGAAAAGTTTGAGGTAGTGGGACTCTTTGGGACTGGACTCTCCCTCTGGATGCATCTTGTGTTCCTCACCAGCAGACGGGCTGCCGCTGTGCCACTCGAGAGCCACACTCAGCTTCGGTAATTATTGAAGGTTGGGGGTGTTTTACTAACCTGTTGCAGATGTGTGTAAGTGCTTGAGACTAAGTAAAGTTTAGCTTTAAGTGAAAGCACTCTTGTGTTGTCCTGTTTGTGCCAGCCATCTATTGGTCAGATGGCTGTGTCTCCCCTGATTTATTTCCTGACACCACGTCGCACAGAGTAAAAGTTGCCAAGAGCTTTGGGTTGAAAGAACCCTGGGTAGCAATAACTTGATGCTTCGAGTAATTTTCAAGGTTACAGGCACTGAGAAATTGTGGAATGGCAAATGTGCTCTTTGACTGACTTGTAAATTCATATGTTAAGTGGATTTCTCAGTTATTGTTGACTAAATGTTTATACTCTTACGATAACTAATGGGCCTATTAGGATTTCTATTAACTACATTTTCAGTGGTTTTTATTGGTCTCCGGTGGAACAATATTTGATTATATTTTTGAACATGTTGAACGATAATCATTTTAGCATATCTTGGGGCTCATTTGCAAAGGGGGCATCCTCTCTCTCTGCCCCACCCGCTTTCAATTTGTGCTAGACAGAACTCTGCTTTTGGCTACCCCTAGCGTGACTGAAGCATGGTGGGTGACTATAACTGTGGTGAACACAGATGCAAAAAGTGTTATGGGCATAAATATTTGAAAACTATTACACACCCTAATGTTGCGTCGTGTGGTTTTTAATAAAAATAAAAAAAGACTGCTACAGACATTTTGCCCTGATTTAAGAATCTCTGTTCAGGGCTGAAATTGCAGTGCATGCAGTAGCTAGACTTGGGTCTCATCTACTTTATAAGTACTACCTGGTTACTGCACTATTCCCCACAGTGCAGACAGAACCTGAGGGCTATATCCTTGGATTTCAGCAAGTTCAGCTCAGGAATATGAACAGCATTTTAACCAATCTTGCCTATGCTATAAGACTGAACAGTGTCTTAACAATGTTGAGGTCCCTGCCATATTGTAATCATTGTACCGGCTGGTACAATGTAGACAGTGACCTTACTGTTACCCTTTTTTGTCAACATTTGGCAAATTAAGAAAATTATGCAAGATGTAAAACCAGTGAGAGCAAAGCATGTCCATGAGAAGCAAAAATATTCCTCCCCCCACCCCCCAAACTCTCTTAAAGGATTAACGTTGTCCTGAATTCAGAGTAAATTAATGAAATTTCAAATGCTTAGCAGTAACTAGCTGGGTGAAGAAGTACAGTAACAGTCTAGTGCAGGCTTCTCTTTGTTGATTTCAGTCACGTTAAGCTATATTGTAACTTTTTTTTTATAATGTAACTTCCATTTATGTAACACTTCTGCAGATTCAAAGTACATAAAGATGTTCAAGAGAAGAAACGAAAGCAAAGTTCCTATGTTCCACAAGGCATTATTGAAGGGTTCCAAGGAGAGTCTTCAAATGATAGCAAAACAATCAGTACTGTTTTGATTGAAACTGAGAAGCGAAAAAGGATATCTATACAGTTTAAACATAATGATGTTAAACATGGAAGAGAGAAAATCCAAAATGATTCTGGTGTGGTCCCTACTAGCAGGGAAATCTGTAAAAAAGACCACTATTTTGACAATGTTGGAACAGGAGGGAAAATGGTGCGGCATAGTTTTGCAATCCAGAAGGACAAGCTGAGGAAGAAGAAGAAAGAGAAAACTGAGCTCAGCAAACTAAAGGCTAGAGTTGAACAAACTATGTTGGAGACGTTCAAGGTAGCTACCTTTCCTACGGACTTGCTAAGTAAGAAGTTGCATGGGTCAAAAAAATTGAGTGATGATTTCAGAATTCTGAAAAAGCCCTCAGCCACCTTTCCAAAGACTGCAGGAGATGGCAATTTCCCCACTAATATATCACACACATCATCGAAGACTTGTAAGAATAAAGAACACCTAGAAAACTCTAAAGAACTATCTAACAAAAATCACCATGATACTAAACATGTACCATTATTTTATTCAACTGCAACATCTAAGGGATGGCAGTATCTTAAAGAGAAAAAACAGCATCCTGATTCCAGCAAAACTTTTAGCTCAAGAACTGAAGGAAGGACCTTTGAAGCCATACAGTTACATTTAAGACAGGTAAAGTTAATAAAATCCTGGGCAAGTTAGTAGTGGACAAATGGGCTGTGTGTTTTTTTTTGTTTTGTTTTGTTTCGTTTTGTTTTGTTTTTTGAAATGGTGGTTTCTAGATGACAGTTTATATCTTCTCCCTCTGCGTATGGAGATGTAGGCTTAAGTTTGGCCACAACTAAGAAGAATTTGTTGATCCCAACCTCATTTATACAAGACACTTGTCTACTTTTTTTTTTTAAAGCATCTTAACATGTTTTTGTATCATTATGATTGTGCTAATTTAAATACGTACTCTCTGCTCTTTTCTATATGCACACTGCATTCTTAACTCTTTATAATACTACTGCAAAGATAGTATTTGGATAGAACATTAATTTTGTCAGGTCACAAAGAGAACTTGTTTAAATTAAAGTTTGTCATCAGGTAGCAAGTGCTTGAATTCTTGTAAATGTCATACTTCTGGCATTATTTCTCAACAGAGCTCTGAAGTCCCGTGCCCTTCTGCCTCCCATCAAGCCATTCACATTACAGAGACAGACCAAGAGGTTTGTGATATTTTAAACAACTGTATCCTCAAACTGTGACATTCTGCACTGTTGCTATGCCACTTCCATTCCTAGTGGCCCTGGAATCTCTTGCGTACTAAAAAATCCAGTTAGTTTGTTGCGCCTGTCAAGGGCTTTCTGAAACAAGTTTACATGGTACAACCTAGTTTTAGACTTCTTGCTTCCATGTTGGAAAGTGGGGTCAGAATATTTGGTTGCAAATCCCACCAACTTTACTTTCCAGCATCCCTTTACTTTTTTTTTAATAAAGAAATAGAGCAGTGGCTCTCAACCTTTCCATACTACTGTACCCCTTTCAGGAGTCTGATTTTGTCTTGAGTATCCCCAAGTTTCACCTCACTTAAAACTACTTGCTTACAAAATCAGACATAAAAAGACAAGTGTCACAGCACACTCTTACTGAAATTCCTTACGTTCTCATTTTTAACATATAATTATAAAATCAATTGGGATATAAATATTATACTTACATTTCAGGGTATAGTGTATATAGAGCAGTATAAACAAGTCATTGTCTGTATGAAATTTTAGTTTGTACTGACTTGGCTAGTGCTTTTTATGTAGCCTGTAGTAAAACTAGGGAAATGGCTAGATGGGTGGATGTACCCCCTAGAAGACCTCTGTGTACTCCTGGGGTTTGCGTACCCCTGGTTGAGAACCACTGAAATAGAGCAATGTTCCTAAAGAACTGTTGTTAGCAGAGCACTTTTGGCCTCTATAGTAAGGAACAGATCAAACCTGTTAACTATTGGATAGAAATGTGGTCACAAATGAAACTTTTAGGCCATACCTTGGACTTCACATATTTGGGTATAGGCTGCAGATGCTCATACTCTTAAATTTGCTGCACCAGTTAAAAATTGACTAATGCTAAGAACTGCATGAAAACATCAGCAGTGATACCAAAGATGCCTGTTCCTGTCAGACAACTTTTTTTAAAGAGCTTACCCACCTCTTATTTTATGTATTCATGTTTTACCATAGATGCAAATAATAGAGGACTTGCATGCTGCTCGTATTGACAAAAAGATAGCTTTGCCAGTCGTGCAGACTTGTGGAGAATTGACAAGTATGGAAATAGATCTTCCAGAAGAGAATGCAGATATTCCGGCTGGTATGTCATCTGTAAAGTTGTCAGGAGGTTTCTCTGCTATCTGCTTCCACACTGACAACATTAAAAGTAATAAGTGACCTAAGTAAGGAATGCAAAAGAATGAATTGCTATATGTTCTCTTCTACAGCAAGTGCTACTTCTGGTTTGAACCTCTTGATAGTGATTGACACCAACATAATGATTAGTCACCTTCAGTTTATCATGACTTTGAAAACTAGAGATATACCAGGTATGTGGATGCTTTTACAGCCCCTATAGAAAAGGGACAATCAACAGGTTCATGTGTTTGTATAGTAAGCTCTTCAGGCTATGGGCTATACCGTGTGTGTGTGTGTGTGTGTGTGTGTGTGTGTGTGTACAATGCCTAACACACTGTACTGGAATGACATAATGGAAAAATAACTTCATGCATATTGAGGCTAACTCTCAAACACTGGGCTCCTTAACAAGCTATCCAAATCCCACATTTGGACACTTAGATTTTCACATGTAAATACTTGTTTGTGAGAGTCTAAATTCAGAGTGTAGGCTTCCTGTTAATGAAACTGACATCTGAAAGCAGAGCCTATTATGTACATATCTACTCTAATGAAAACTGAACTTCTTATAACAAATTTTAAACTCTTCTGCATACATAAAAGTTTTAGGAATCCTTGCTTTCTAAAAACCCCTAGGTCTGGTTCTACCTGATACTAGATGCTATAAAAAGTCAGTAAGAGTTTTTTACCTGAGGTAGGGGCAGAGTAGGGACTTAAGCATCTGATCCATTATTAATAGTAAGTATCTTGCCCTTCTATTGCACCTTAATACAAAGATCTCAAAGCACTTTGTTTAACCCTCATAACACAGCTGAGGACACAGGAACAAATTATCCCATCTGTAAGATAAGTATTATCAAGGCAGGAAAAAGGTTGTCAGGAAAAAAAATTGAAGTCAGAGCTGGAAATAAAACACCTGGCATTCTGACGTCCAACCCCTTGCTTTCAGTACTGCCTCTAGTATGTTGCTGTATTCTAGATCTGTACTGCTAGAGGGACTAAGACTGCAGATACCAGCATGCACCAGTGAAGTCCATCAGGGTGCTTCTAACATTCTGAGCTAATGAATAGTGATTTATAATGCAAACCAATTGGAAACATAGCCCCATTATGCTATAATGTATGTGGCGTATTTCTATATAAGGTCTGATCATGTAAGTGCCAGAGATAAAGAACGGGGCCAACGTATATAGCATTGACAGAATAGTCATTCACTTTCTAATGTATTCATTGTGTGTCTAGTATATTCCAGTTTTAATGACAAAGTTTAGTACATATTTTTAAAGAATTTTTTTAACAATGTTCATTGAAAATGTAGGACAGTAAAACTTTTGTCCAGTGTCCATAGCGTTTATCACTGAGATAGTGTTGTTGGATGATAGTCTTTGCAAACCATTGTTGCCTTTATTAATTAGAATTTGGTTATATATAATGACCATCATTTGTGAACATAATATCAGTCTTCCCTTTTCCTCTACTGCTCAGTGACTTTTTTATTTTAGCATCACACAGTGTGGCATTCATTGTGTGGCAAACAGCATGACAGGATTACCACAACAATTATGTCAAAATATGGTACAGTAATGTGATAAAAATTATTTACTGATTACTCCTCAACTTTGCATGTCATCACTTTTAAGATAACCCACTGAATGAGTGTTTATATTGAATTTAACATTAAGGAAGCTAACTTCTGTTTAAAAAAAAAATTTTTTTAAACTTAATCCTTCTGTATACAGATGAAATGGGTCTTGCCCAGTAATGCAGAAATCTGCTAATACACATAAACCTCGGGAACTATGTTCACATTAAAATGGAACCTACTATAGTTCAATTGGCAGTTTTTTTTTAAAAAAAATTGTATTTTCTAGGCATTGGCAGACTTGCACTGATAATTCCCTGGGTGGTTCTACAAGAACTGGACAACTTGAAGAAAGGCAAAGTACTACAACATGTTCGACACAAAGCTGTCCCTGCAGTTGAGTTCATCTACACTTGTCTCAAAAACCAAGATTCAAAGCTGTGGGGGCAATCCATGCAGCTTGCCTCTCAGAAAATATGTAAGCTATTTACATATTTACATTTATTTCTATGTTGAATGGTCCTCACAGCTCCACTAGTGTGAGCATCAGCATCTACTTCTGGGCTTAATATAATCTTCACTTTTACCTTTGCAATTTCCCTATTAAAATTGAGTAACAACTTTCAGTGGCCATCAGACTGTTATTCACTATGGACCTGATTCTCTACCCTGTCACACCAATTTTATACTGTTAATTGATGTCAGAGTTATGCTGGCATAAAACTGATGTAATGGAATGAAGAATCAGGCCCTATATATTTCTCAATCTTTTGTGATGGGTAGGTATCTTTCTGAGTTATTAGAATACAAACATCACCTATATTTTTCAGCATGAACCTATCAAATACACCTTAATCAGTAGTAAAAGATTTTTGAACAGATTTAGTACATGGGTAGTTTATAATCAAAACTAGTACTTCACTCCCTACCATTTTATCGATAAATTTTGTTTGTTACAGCATTATCAATTCTAGCTGTGTCTCCACTTTATAAACAGGCTGTGGGGAGTTACTTCATCCTACCAAGCTAGGTATGGATTGCGTGTCTTCTTCAGTTGGTGACTGCGACCTAGTTGATCAGAGCTGTGTAAGCGACTCGCCTGAAGTTGCAAAGCAAGAAAGCAACAGTTTCTAGTAGAACTCAGGAATTCCTGTATCCCAGATCTGTGCTTAGACCACACTACTCCCCGTTGCTTGAACAAATACAGTGTTTGACTACAGTATCTTAATAAATATATTAAGATATTGCTCATGAAGCCTGATTATTTCTGAATATATTGCCATTGTGTTTGCTAAATTTGCAGATGGATTGAGTAATGAAAACAATGATGATCGTGTTTTACAATGCTGCTTGCAGTATCAGAGTCTTTTCCCTCAAGCTTTTGTCATACTGTGCACGTGAGTTACATCTGCATCTCATGTTTTGTTTTGAAGTCTGAGATTGCTGAATTCTGTATGTGGGGAGGAGACTACACACCCATCACTTTTAGATGTGATTGAATTTTTTTTTTTTTTTTTGAGAAGCAAAATCACTCGATATAACTCCTTTGTAGTATAAAGGAATAATTAAAAACACTCTTCTAACCATAACGCTTTAAGTAGAGTTAATTCAAGTTCTTAATTTTCTTAAAACTGGAATTTGCTGGAAAACAGCTGCTAATATTACTGGTGCTGCATAAATTAACTGAAGACTTAATAATCACATTTTGGGTGGGAACAGAGCAGAGATCTGGTTGTACATAGATGTTTGGATTTCATACATGGTGAAGATGGTGGTTGTATGTATTACAGCATGTATGGATAGGGATTGACTTTGTTCTAATTCTCCTGCTGATTTTTGTGACTTGATTCTAGCCGTGGCTACACTAGGAATTGAAACTTCATTTTCAGCAACTGATCTCCCTGAAGGGATGCTGAAAAGGTTGTTCGAGTGAAGACCGGACAAAATCAATACCATTTTAGAAAGTGGAAATGAGTTCTCTAATGGGAACTGGTTTAATCTGTGCAAACTTAATGTGTGGGAGCCAAATTAATGTTTTCAATGGAAACCTAGGCCTGGTCTACACTATGAGTTTAGGTCGAATTTAGCAGCGTTAAATCGAATTAACCCTGCCCCTGTCCACACAACGAAGCCATTTTTGTTGACATAAAGGGCTCTTAAAATCGATTTCTGTACTCCTCCCCGACGAGGGGAGTAGCACTGAAATTGGCATTGCCGGTTTGAATTAGGGTTAGTGTGGACACAATTCGACAGTATTGGCCTCCGGGAGCTATCCCACAGTGCATCTTGTGACCGCTCTGGACAGCAATCTGAACTCGGATGCACTGGCCAGGTAGACAGGAAAAGCCCCGCGAACTTTTGAATTTCATTTCCTGTTTGCCCAGCGTGGAGCGCTGATCAGCAAAGGTGACCATGCAGAGCTCATCAGCACAGGTGACCATGCAGTCCCAGAATCAAAAAAGAGCTCTAGCATGGACCGTATGGGAGATACTGAATCTGATCTCTGTATGGGGAGATGAATCTGTTCTATCAGGACTCCGTTCCAAAATACAAAATGCCAAAACATTTGAAAAAATCTCCAAGGCCATAATGGACAGAGGCCACAACAGGGACTCAACACAGTGCTGCGTGAAACTTAAGTTGCTGAGACAAGCGTACCAGAAAGCCAAAGAATCAAATGGATGCTCACGGAGGGAGGGGCAACTGACGACTGTAGTTATCCCACAGTTCCCGCACTCTCCGAAAACCATTTGAATTCTGGGTTGAGCTCCCAATGCCTGAAGGGTCAAAAACATTGTTGCGGGTGGTTCAGGGTATATGTCATCAGCCCTCCCCTCCCCCCTGTGAAAGCAAAGGGAAAAAAATCGTTTCTCGCCTTTTTTCAGTGTCACCGTATGTCTACTGGATGCTGCTGGCAGACTCGGTGCTGCAGCGCTACACAGCAGCATCCCCTTGCCTTGCCTTGCAGACGGCAGACGGTGCAGTATGACTGGTAACCGTCATCGTCGTCCCGTGGGTGCTCCTGGCTGACCTTGGTGAGGTTGGTCGGGGGTGCCTGGACAAAAATGGGAATGACTCCAGGTCATTTTCCTCTTTAAGTTTTGTGTAATGGAGATTCAATCCTGCCTGGAATATCATGCCATCTGGAGGCTTCTGCCTCAGGCTGCTCTCCCAGTCGGCAGCACCACGCAGTCGCACCTACCCCAGCCTACCCCTTGCTCCCAGGGCTCACAATCAGATACTTAGACCTCTACATTTTGCTGTAAATAAAAAAATAAAACTGCCGTTTAGAACTGTCCCCCAACATGCATATCCTGGGACATTTTGTATTTTACCAGTGTCAACCAAAGGCCCACACACAAATGGAGATTCAGTCCTGCCTGTGCTTCTATCCTAGTGCTTATCACAGATTCCCATTTTCAGCTATAGGCTGAGCAAGTGCAGAATGGTGGTTCACTCTACTTTGCTGTAAGCCAACCGTCCTCCCCTCCCCCCTTTGATCGCTGCTTACAGAGGCAATAAAGTCAGTGTTGTTTCAAATTCATGCATTCTTTATTACTTCATCACACAAATGGGGGGATAACTGCCAAGGTAGCCTGGGAGGGGTGGGGGAAGAGGGAAGCAACGGGTGGGGTTGTTGTAGGGGCACCCCCTAGAATGGCATGCAGCTCATCATTTCTGCGGGATGTCTGGGGCTCTGACCCGGAGCGGCCGTTTGCCCCTCTGATTCTTTAGTAGGCTTGCCTGATATTCTAAGCAGGACTGACTCTCCATTAGACAAAACTTAAAGAAGAGAATGACCTGGAGGTCATTCCCATTTTTGTCCAGGCGCTCCCAACCAACCTCACCGAGGTCGGCCAGGAACACCCATGACAGCAGCAGACGGTACAGTATGGCTGGTAACCGTCTTTGCTAACTTGCAAAGGCAAGGGGATGCTACAGTACCGTGTCTGTCAGCAGCATCCAGTGACAGTGAAAAAAGGCTGAATGGGTTCCATGGTTGCCGTGCTATGGCGTCTGCCCAGGCAATCCAGGGAAAAGGGCGCTAAATGATTGTCTGCCGTTGCTTTCACGGAGGGAGGATTGGCTGATGACATTTACCCAAAACCACCCGGGACAAATTTTTGGCCCCATCAGGCATTGGGAGCTCAACTCATAATTCCAATAGGCAGGGGAGATAGCTACCCACAGTGCAATGCTCTGGAAGTTGAAGGTAACCTCGGTACATGGACGCACACCGCTGAATTAATGTGCTTAGTGTGGCCGCATGCACTCGACTTTATACAATCTGTTGCCAAAAATCGAATTCTGTAAAATCGGAGTAATCCCATAGTGTAGACATACCCTTAGACAAACATGAGTATGGGGAGATTGTCCATAATGCTTCCATGTTAAGTTAGCATAATTTGAGTTAAGAGATGACTCTTGTATTGTGCGGCTCTGTTAAACTCAGGCTGTGATTTATATGCTAAAATTCATCTATACTCTTTTTAGCTTCTTACAGCCTCATGAGTAATAAAGATTCTCCAGCTGGAACTTGGGTAATTTTGTTGTATTAGGCAGAACAGAATTCAGCTCAGTCCATCACGTCTTCATTGGGTGCGCAGCAGGGTGGATTGATTTAAATCATTGCCTTAAATCTTGTTTTTGCATTTGCATTTCTTAATTCTTTTTTGGGTGCTTGCACATGTCCATTTCACTTAAGTGTGTGCCCGTGCACAGTGCACCGGAGCTAGAGAACATTTCCCCATAGTGGTACCCATCTGCGCAGCACATGTGCCCTCCATGCACCGGTGCTGCTTAGCGGGAGCATGAAAGGCAGGGATGCCCCAGTGCCCCTGTTTCTTCTCACCGTCTATGATTGGTGGTCAGAGCAAGTGTGAGCTCTTCATGTTTTCTCTGTGTGTTAGTTACTTAGTTAGTTAGCTGTACCCATTTTAGGTTTCCATTTACCTATTCTTTTGTCTTTGTTTTGTTGTTGTTGAGCTTTGCTCTATACTGTGATATACTGAAGTCTTTTTTCCTTCAGAGGGCTAAATGGTCAGACTCCCTTAAGGATAAATCAAGTTCTGAGGTTAGGAGGTGAGGTGGTCCCCTGTACTGTATTCCTGCAGTGTTGAGTTGTTGACTCCAGCATCTCAAGGGGCTCTGTCAAGACAGACTCCATTGTCTACTTCATCTGTGGCACTGATTTCTGTTCCCTAGGCTATTTTGTCAGTACCAACTATGTGTTAGGCATATGCAGTGGCACAGGACCTCTTGTGCTTGTCAGTGCCAGCTTCACCTCTCAGGCAGGATAACTCCCAGGTACCAGACCTGACAGCTTTGGTACCAACCCATGTGGTACCAATTGTGCAGGACAATGTAGAATTGCAAATCCTCAGGTGCTGCTTGCCAGATATGATTATTCAAATTGGAATGCAATGTCTAAGTCTCAAGACAAGTTACCAAACAATGTCAAAGAGGAATTTAAGGTGTTTATTAATGATGGTTGTTTGGTTTCCCAGTCTTCTCTACAGGCTTCACTGGATGAAGCAGACTCCGCAGCTCCACTGATGGCAGCGGCATTGCTATTCGTTGTGCTTCGTGGCTGCAAGCACTTGGTATTCCGACTGAAGTGCAGCATACTATAGAAGGCTTGCCTCTGAGGGTTCAAGTCTGTTCTCTGGCAAAATAGCTGAGACTCTGCACTCTTTAAAAGATTCCTCAGCAATCCTGAAATCTTTGGGTATTTACACTCCTGCTATAAAAATTGAAAAGGATTGTGGCATAAGTGGTCTTGCCTAGTGGTCACAGCTGGGCTGAGGTCTGCCCAGCAGGAACAGTAGTTACCAGGCAGGAATTGAACTTAGTTTTTGCAATTCCTTCTGTAAGCAAGTGCCAGGGTCAGAGTCAGGCTGGGATCAGAGATCAGAAGTAGTACAAGGCTGGAATCAGGAGGCAAGAGTCAGGGTCAGTCAGGCTGCAGTCAGAGGCTGGAGATCAGAGGCTGTAGCAGGCTAGAGTCAGGAGGCAGGAATCAGGGTGAGAGTAAGGCTGGAGTCAGACACAGGAGATCAAGCAGAGTCTGGCGTTGCAGCAGGCTGAAGTCTGTGAGGTTGCCCAGGCCACTTCCTGGGGCAACCCATGGAGTTAAATAGGGCACTTGGCCAATCAGAGAGGTGCAGGGTACCATCACTCTGGATCTCTTGGGCGGTATTTCCTGCAGCGTTTACTCTCCATAGTGCTCCCTAGCTGTGCCTCTGGATGGTCTCCCAGTGGCACGGTGAGAATTTTATAGCCATCCCAGGCTCTGCAGACCTGGGTTCTAGTCCCTGGGTCCTTACAAAGAGAAAACAGTTTCTGCCTCAGGTGCATCAGAGCTATCCATCATAGTACCTGGTGAGGGAGCCTAACA